CTTTGGTAATCATAAGTTTGTTTTCTATGTCTGCTTGTCTATTTCAGTTTTGTCAGTAAGTTCATTTGTATCATTTTTTAGATTCCATGTATGAGTGATATGATATTTGTTTTTCTTCTTCTGACCTATTTCTCTTAGTATGATAATCTCTAGGTCCATTCATGCTGTGGCAAATGACATTATTTCTTTTTTAATGACTGAGTAGTATTCTAGTGTGTGTGTGTGTGTGTGTGTGTTTATTATATCATCTTTATCCAGTCATCTGTTGATGGACGTTTAGGTTGCTTTCATGTCTTGGCTATTGTAAATAATGTTGCTGTGAACATAGGGGTGCATGTGTCTTTTCAAATTAGATATATGCCCAGGAGTGGGATTGCTGGATCACATGGTGACTCTAGTTTTAGGTTTTTAAGAAATCTCCATATTAATTTCCATAACGTTTGCACCAAATTACATCCCATCAACAGTGTAGGAGGGTTCCCTTTTCTTCACATTCTCTAGCGTTTATTGTTTGTGGACTTTTGAACGATGGCCATTCTAACTGGTGTGAGGTGATAGCTCATTGTAGTTTTGATTTGTACTTCTCTGATAAGTAGTGATATTAAGCATCTTTTCATGTGCCTGTTGGCCATCTGTATGTCTTCTTTGAAGAAATGCCTGTTAGGTCTTCTGCCCATTTTTGATTGGGTGGTTTTTTGTCATTGTTGTTGCTGTTGTTGTTATTGAGTTATAAGAGCTGTTTGTGTATTTTGGAAATTGAGCCCTTGGCAGTTGCATCATTTGCAAATATTTTCTCCCAATCCATAGGTTGTCTTTTTGGTTTGTTGATGGTTTCCTTTGTTGTGCAAAAGGCTGTAAGTTTAACTAGGTCCCATTTGTTTATTTTGCTTTTTATTTCTTTTGCCTTGGGAGACTGACCTAGGAAAACATTGCTATAATTAATTTATGTCAGAGAAGGTTTTGCCTATGTTCTCTTCTAAGAGGTTTATGGTGTTCTGTCTTATGTTTAAGTCTTTGATCCATTTTGAGTTGATTTTTGTATATGGTGTGAGGGAGTGTTCTAACTTCATTGATTTACATGGGGCTATCTGGTTTTCCCAACAACACTTCTGAAGAGACGGTCTTTTCTCCATTGTATATTCTTGCCTCTTTTGTCAAAGATTAATTGACTGCAGGTGTGTGGATTATTTTGGGGCTGTCTTTTCTGTTCCATTGATCCCTACGTCTGTTTTTGTGCCAATACCACAAAACTGTTCTGATTACTGTAGCTTTGTAGTATTGTCTGAAGTCTGGGAGGGTTATACCTCCAGTTTTGTTCTTTTTCCTCAGTGTTGCTTTGGCAATTCTGGGTCTTTTATGGTTCCCTATAAATTTTAGGATTATTTGTCCTAATTCCAGAATACAATGATTTTTATAAGGCAGTGTTCACTGTAGTTTTTCTGACCTGTGGGCCAAAATTTTAAACAATTAAATAATCAGGTTATGTTTTCATATTGTTTTTTATTCAAGGCTTGTTGAGAAGCTGGGAAGGTAGAAGGTGTTTCTTAACTAATTATTAGTATTATTTTATAATGTGTTATCTGACAGGAATATTGCAAAGAATTTATAATTCATATAAACATTGTAATATTTATATAATAACATTTAATAAATAAATATTATAATTATATAAATGTTAAAATAACATTAAGATACAAACTATCAAACAGATGGTATGGACTTAAAATTAGGGAACTGGAATCTAATGTCTTAGTTAATGGAATAAATTATGTCCATTTTCTGAGTATTCATTTGTAGTTTATCTGTTTCATAGATTATGACAGACTTTAATTCAGTGTGTCTTCTTCTTCCATTTATCTGCCTTCCAGGCTCACTGTTGTTCCATTCCCTCTTTGTTGATAAGTGTTTTAGATGCAAATTAGTTTTGACATTAATAAGAGCAGTGCATTTTGAGGATATGCTCTAAATTTGATTTTTTGTTTTATTATCTATACATCTTCTTGACTTTGTACATGGATAATTGAAAACTGATTTTATGTATGGTTTCAATCCAATTTAAATCAATACTGAAACTAATATTTTGTATATATGAGGTGATTTTCCTGTTAAGTCAGTATCAGAGTTGGAAGGAGCCTACTCAAGTGTTGTTAAATTCTTTCTGTTATAACATCCCTCTAGGGTTGCTATCTGCTTGCATATAAAACTAACTTTTTTGGTTGGGAATATAGCATAGATTGTTCTTATACTGAACTTAAATGTCTTTCTGAAGCTCTTACTCCCCATGCCTCCATGTTTTTTTGCCACATAGAATACTAATGCTCTTGCTTATAGTGGTTTTAGGGTGCAACAGTTTTGCTGAAAAATAAATCCTGAGTGATACATACTCAGTCCTTGGACATTTTTACTGTTTAGTCTGTTTAACAAAGATATTCTTTTAGAGGTAGTATTTACTATAGTCACTTATAAGTATATATAATGATAAATTAATGATTTTTCAAAATAATTGTGATCTCTTAAAAATAATTTATGTATTTATACTTACATATGTGATCAAGAATTTCCTGTCTATTGGTAAAAACAGTTTTGTGAGAAGACAGGTCGTGCAACAAGAATTCAGGCAGCATTCCTGTTTGTTTAGGATAGTCTGTCATTAACTTTGTCTCTGGAATTCCCATCTGGAAGATGTGTTTGGCTTTGTTGATTACTTGCTGCAGTAGATTGGAACCTTGAGACTCTAAGGATGCCTTTTCTAGCCTATAGTCCTTGTCACAGCACCTGGGAAGCCCTAGGAGTTTTTTGATGAGAGTTTTAAGCAAGTAGAAAATGAGTGCTGCCTCAGAATAAAAGGTTACCAAGATTGATAGGAAATTAGGAAAAAAAGATAAAATAGACAATGTTCAAAAAGGCTTATACTTTCTGAAGCTAATGAGTATACCCTGTTGTCTCCTATTCACTTGAAAATGAGTTGATTTTTTTCTTTAGGAACAACTTTATTGAATTATAATTTGCAATAAGTAAAATATAGTTACTTCAAGTGTATAGTTTTGACAGATGTATATACTTGTATACCTACCATTCCAGTCAAGGTGTAGAACGTTTTCCATCATAGCAAACAAACATTTCTTCATTCTCTTTTGCTCTTT